CGTTAGCAGCTGCTTCTTTTGGAGTATTGACAAAAAGAGCAAAGAAATGTTTTCAACTAAAATCCATTCATTTCAGAGTGGAAGCTATCAATGAACATGACAGCAGCATTAACAAGTCCTATTTTCAGCAGCTGATGATGTCATTAACTGTAACATTCCAAAAGGACAATTATTTCCTTCAACGAACTGCATTCACCATTATGTCATCGTGTACCGGCTGTAGCATGCGGGAAATTCATGAAACTTAACATGAGCAAAACATTGGTTGGTAAGTACTTTGCGAGGGAACCCTCTAGAGACCGAGATGCCAATGCCCCCAGCTGTCTGCTCCATGCTTCTACCAGAGGTTAGCACCCAACTGCCCGCACAGGGTCAGGACGCTCGTCAGAGCCTCAGTGCTCTGACTGAGGCATGCCAATGCTTCTTCACTTGGAAAGCTGCTCCTCTTGGAAAGCTGCTCCTCTGAGCTGTCCATCACACCTCTGCTGCACAGATGCCCAAGCTGCTCAGCAATTAGTTCCTGGGCAGCCATTTTACGTTGAAACATAACTCATTCCCAATTTAGATTTGCCTTAAAATCCAAATCCAGTGCTGCAGACTGCAGCAGTTCAGGGACAGCTGATAACAGCTTTGACATGCATGCAGCAAAAGCTGGTGGGGGAGCTGGGGGAGATAACCTTGCCCATCACCCCCAACTGAGCTGTACCCATTAACCAAACAGAGCTCTCAGCAGCTCTCAGTTCATGATGAAAGCATATCATCTTTAAGTGGAAATCCTGCTGTAGGAGCAATAAAACAGTGGAAAATGGATTTGGAGCCATAGTAATATCAAAATACTACTGCATCATATTTATTTGCCCCAAACTGGACCTGGGCCAAAACAGTAAAAGGTTTGCTTTCACCAGTTACAAACTTTTACTGGGAATAACTTGTTCTCAAAAAAGGGGAAACTCAGCCCAAGCATCACAATCAATCAGTTCTTGCATGCTAAAATAGGAAATGGCACATTCTTAGATTTATTGACTTGGATGGAACATCACTCATTGTCATACGTTAACTGCATTTGGCATTTCTACCCAGCTCCATTTCAAGTACAACCTGCTGCAGGAATCCCAGCCCACTCAGACACATTTCACTGCAAATCTGTGTTGCTGGATTAAGATTCCGCATAGCTCCCTCCACGTCCGTCAGCTTTTGAGAACAACGCATGGCGATTCCCACTTTTGCCAGGCTGATCTCCAGACCCATCATGCCTCCCGGCAGCCGCAGAACGTGTTCAACACTAACCTGCAGCATCATTTGAAGACTTTGGCACACGTTTGGAGCTGAGCACTTCAGAATCCCTCAAGTCCTCCTTTTTACCTCTACTGCTGCTGTCCTCTTTGTCTTCTATGCGTTTTTTCTCTTCTTGCCGTTTAGCTGCTACAGATGCCCTGACTGCTGCTGCAACGTCTCTATCTTCTTCTTCCCTACAGGACAGGGCAGATTTTCTTGGTCAAACAGTAAGGATTACCGAGCATCTTTGTCTCACCTCTCCGGTGTCAGGTCTGATGACTGTCCCTGATCTTGTGCTGCCACCTGCTGAGAAGGCTAAAAGAAACCCGCTATGCCAACACACCCTGGCGCCGGCTGATGAGACAGGCAACATTCACCCCCGGGATTTGCAAGTTCTACACGTGGTAATTAAAATTCAGGCCAGAAGAAACCAGGGTGAACTGGGAGAGACAGTACCAAGGATGCATGGGGACACCTGTCTCTCCCATTCATCTTCAAATGTATGAAATCATACTTGTAGGCCACAGTAATTCTTTGAAATATGGTTTGTCATGAACTCTTAACACATGCACGATCCACATGCGACACCAACATAGAAGTGTTTAGAGATGGACTTTTTCCCCCAGTGAAATCACCAGTAATGAACCAGCTGACCGTCCAGCGAGAAAAAGAAGAAAAATAGATGTGCAGTATGTATAAAGCACTCGGGTCTTGTGTGGATGAAGAGACATAGAAATGCAAAACTTCATTTCAATACTTAACCCTCTTCTTTTTCCAAAGCACTCAGTCTGGCCACACAGAGATCTGTTAGTTCAATGAAAAGCATGGTCCTTAGAATAGGAACGTCATGATTACCCAGACCCAAAAGTCCATTAAGCCTGCAAACACTTGTCACTTACTTCAGAAAATCCTATTTAGAAAAGTTAGCATAAAAACAGTTGCTGAAATTAATTTAGGATTCTGAGTATTTAACCCACAAGTTGAAGATTACATTCTTTGCTTCCTGTGTCAACCCAGAGAGCTGAAACTTCACACAAAATAATTTCACTTTCACCAAGCACGTAGTCAGCACGCAGGCTTAGGCTGAAAGCTAGTTCTACTCTCAAGGATTCAGTATGGAGGCTTCCAAATTTTGTACCCACTTCCTTCCTACTGGTCCACCAAAACATTGTTAATTGGTAAGTAAAAAACAACACTAAGCAGCAATAAAAATCCACAAAATGTTGTGCTACTCACCTCTTATATCTCCAGCTGCCTCTTCTGTTTTGCTGACTTCCTCGGCCACCCAGTCTGCCTGACCTCCCTTGCCTGTTATACCTGTCAACTTCTTCATAGTCCTCTCCACCTATAACACCTAAACAGGAGGGATGCTTGATCACTTTCAAAGTTATTTTTCTGATTTGGGCATCACACTATGCCTGAAAAAAATGAAAATATACTAGTACAAACAAATCTATCTTGATTTCTTTCTGATGATTAAGTAGTCTATATAACCTTTGGGATTGCTACATTAAAATGTATTTTGCAGTATATGGATTCCATGTATTGTAACTTGTGATGCAAGTTTTGAGCAATTTTGTTTTTATGCAGAGATCTCTCTACATACAGTTCCACACAGAAGAAAAGTCAATACGTGTGTCGATCTCTGCATTCCTAAGTGGATATGCTACTCTGGTCTCATGCTCCGTGTTCATCACTACTTTGTATTAACTGTAATGTAAGTCATTCACGTAATTACAAATCGGAGAAGAAAGTCAGCAATTTTCCTAAAATTACGTTATCATCATTAAATCCACACATGGGGGAAAAAAAAAATTGTAAAACAATTTAGGTAGGAAGAGACGCCTGGATGTCATCTGCTCCATCCTCTCACTCAAAGCAAGGCCAACTGCTGAAACTACATCAGGTTGCCCAGGGCCCTGTCCGGTCAAGTTCTGGTTACCTTCAAGGACAAACTCTACAACCTTTCAGGGTCCTGTTCCAGGGCTTGCCCACCGTCTTTGTAAAGAATTTCTTCCTGGCTAGGAAGTGTTCACCAGGTGTCCTTGAAAACCATCAAAGCAGTAAGAATGAATATGTTTCTGTCCACCTCATCCCCCAACCACACTCACCCTCATTCCTCCTCTGGTGCCTAGGAGCATAGTTAAACTGAAGGTCTATCTGCCGGTTCTGCCTGGCCTCTGCCCTGTTCTTGCTGTGGCAGGCTGTTTTGTGCGCTTTATAATCTATTTCTGTGCGGAAAGCATGGGTAAACTGTTCTGTGCTGCACCGTCCCTCTTCGCAAAGGAAGTGCTTTTCGCGGAAGTGTTCACGAAGGTATTCATAATCACTGGAAAGAGAAAAGAGGCTGAGCTGCAACCTTCCCAGCATATTTGTTGGGAAAGTATAATAGTAACTAAAGATATATGGTTACTCTTACAAGATGAAGTGAAGACAAGCCTAGGAGGTTGGTTCTTTCTTTATCCCCAGGCAAGCTTTCCAGCTGAAACCACTTGTGTACGGTCGACATAGGCCTTAATGCACGATCCCAGATGTTAAACTAAACCTACTGGCTGATACTCATCACATCCAGCTGTACATAAGGCATGTACTTCATAAAAGAAAATTTACTTCTACCTGCTTTGCCCATGAACTTTGGAGTACTAGATTTAACACACTAGACAGCTGCAGACATCTGCTGTCATGCTGCAAAATGTAACTTTTAATGTTTAACATTAATGAAGAAAACTTTAAAACATAAACCAGACAGAAAGTGATTACTTTGGCTATTGGTCTGAGGAACAAAAGAAACTGCAGCCAACCTGTTCACATTCTTGTCCTCTGTCTTCAAGCACTACTTTCCCCAAAATTCAAAGCAGACCCAAGCAATTTTTCCTCAAAATTTAAGCTACAAGATGAGGAATAAACTGCTTGCACAAACCTGTAGTATTCCTGAGCACCATCTGAGTCACAGAAATGACAAAAATAATGATCTCGTCTTAGGTGTTTCAGTAACTCATCATTATCCAAATAACGTTCGTCACAAAATTTACACAGGGGATGCCCACGATGAGAGGTGTCATCTGGATCTCCATGGATTCGATGACGAGCGAGGTCCTTACGAGAATACCATTTCCGTTCATAAGTAAAAATCTGAAGAAATATATATATATGTATTACTTCTTGTGAACAGAGAACAAAATGGAATAAGCTGGGTTGTGCACAGCTTGTTCCTTTTGTAGGGGTGGAAGATTTGCTTCAGAAAGATGCAATTTGACAACTGACACCTAAAATTTTCAGTGAATAGGAAACAAAATTCCCGTGATAGATCCAAATTAAATCTAACTTGCATTTTACTCAGTTTGAACATTTGAAACAGATCTAATTCACCTTTTTCCCTTTTTTTTTTTTGTGTATTAACATAATGGAACAAACTTTAAATTATAATCTCTGGTGGGGAAAAAAATCCTAAATATGAACATACAGTATTTTGCATACTCAAACTAAAAAAAAAAACTGTAAAGCAGAAGTGAGCTGTTATACTTTCCTCCGATAGCAACTACCCCAAGATAGCTACATGCAAAGGATACAGTTTAGTGAACAAATTTTGTATATAAGCCAATCTTTTGACCTACCAACACGCAAGCTATTCTGGTAGGAAGGGTTCTGAAGATGCCAAAAAGATCAACACATCCTTGAGAACAGAATATCCTTTACTTCTCGCCTAGACAAGGAGCATTAACTTGTTCTGGGAAAAGGTTCATTTGGCTTAGCTAGGGTTGACTGACTGAAGCTTCTGCGAGTTTAAGAACTTCTTTTCAGTAGGTACTAGTAATATGGAACTTTTTTCTGCAAAATAAAAATCTCTGCAATATTCTGAAATTAAAAGCCAACAAGTTCTACTGTTGTTTGTGAATTCTCTGGGAGAGACAATGACAAACAAGCTCCTTTAGTGCTGGCTACCAGAGCTCAAAGGACACAAACTGCCAGAAGTGGTCTCGCCCTCCCCTGACCACTTCCCTTGAATGAGCTCTAGTGACTGCAGGACCACAGGGAAGAGAATCAAATCAGTTCACTGAAAGCTGACCCTGCAAAAAAACCAACGTATTAGCGTTCATCCAGGTCAACCTGACCACTTCTGGATCCTGTCCTCTTTTGGCAGTAAATTACAGTTCAGTTGGCATAAACCAACCGTGGCACCACAGAATAAATGCATTTCTCCGATTTGATACTTAATTGGTTTCAGAGAAAACAAACACACATACAAAACCCTGTGTAATGAGTTCTAAAAGTATGTGTTCATGCATTAAATTCCCTCCTACAACAATAAGGAATGCTGACAACTATGAGACACGAAGGTTAGCAGCCCTAGAATTCATTTAACAGTAGCTGCTGATTTCGTTCAATGTGTAATTCAGAAATACAAAACCCACTCTAGCTCCAGGGAAAGGTGGAGTTCCAACTTTCAGACTGTGAAAAAGCATTGCCTGGCGGACCTAACATCAGCCCTTCTAAGTGAAATTTGGGTGGGATTAAAAAAAATTAAAAAGCATGATGATGGTGATGGTAAAATGAGTAGTTTTAAGGCTCAATACACATGATCTTTTCAGACACAGACAACTCAGTTTTCCAGTAACTGTTTTATCTTTAGCAGGTTGTAAAATACATTTTAAAACAGCCCCTGATCATGTTCTACATGTGTACATCAAACACAGCGGACCTCAATTGCAGGCAACAGCAAGTTTCATTCTCCAATCAAGTCAACAAGATACAGGAAATTTGCTCTGAACAAATAAACAAGATAATGAAATATAATTATATTTCATTAAACCAGCAAGATGGATTCTCTTCCTGTACATGATCCAACTGTAAATGCTACGTTGACTCTGATCTGAGAAATAAATCCATCGCTCCATGATGCGTTCTGCTTTCTGAACTGGCACCAAACATTTTCTTAAGTTACAGTTTTAGCTCGTGAAGTCATTATGAGTATAAGTCTTAATAGACATCAAACCTCTACCATTACAGTGGTAATGAAGTCTGCCTACGATTCAGGATTAACTTCCTACCAGACAGTTAGGGTTTGGTACTTACACACGTGGCAGATGAGCTAACATCAGAAGATTATTAATATGGTTGAACTTAATTTAAAATATAATCCACTGAGAACCATCAGGCCTTCTTCATTAATCAGTTTATGGAAGAAGACAGACTTAAAACAAAGCAACTGGCCTCGCTGCAGGCAGACAGAGGAAACTTAAAAAAAAATAAAATCGGTGCTGTTCAGCCACCTCCTTCTTCCCACCTCTCCGAGGTCGTGTAAGGCAGCACCTCTCCTTCCCACACCTTAAATCATAGAACTAGCTCACCTTTAAGTGTTTAACACAGAGTTTGCAACAGAAGAGTTCATGCTGCTTTCTCATGTGCTGTTCCAGATCTGCAAAGGTATTGAACGGCTTCACATCTGGACACAAAGAGCATTCATGCTGCAGCAGCTTCCTAAGGGACAAGAAAGATTTCCTAAAAATTATCTGATTCCCTCTCAGCAACCCGATACCTTTATCAAAAAACAAATGTTCTGTCAGTGGCAGAAGGCTGCATTTTTATAGCTCCCCCAGCAATTTATGATGAGGTTAGCGTCCTGCTTATTCCAAGAATACTTTGTCATCTGTCAGGAACAGAACAGAACCAAATTACACAGAGGCTTCAACTGTAGGAGAAAAGCTGAACAGTCACAGTGTAAGTAATACACTGCCACTGTAAAATTTGGAGTGGACTGCAACATGTCCATGCAACAAACCCCTTGCTTATTGAAGAGTCAGCTGATATATGCAACATTCACATCCAATTTAATTACAGAAACTGAACAATATGGTGGGGGGAGATAAAAAAACTGTAATAGAAAAGGCGGGGGGAGCAAACAAAAAACCCACAATGATTCCCAACAAGAGCTGAAGACAGAGCACTGGTCTCCGTGAGAGACCCCACTCCCTTGCACTTGATTGCTGCCCACGGAACTGTAATCTCAGCAACTCTCCAGAAATCATATCATCAAAAGCAATTCCCAGAGCTGGTGCATAATTAATCAGAACATGCTTCCAGCTGATGCTGTGCACTAAACGCATTGCCCAATTCCATAAATATGAAGTCATACAAAACTGTAAATGTAGCAGCAAAGCTACGTTCTTAGCCCAAATCAGGTTGGGTATAATGCATAACTCTCCAAGAAAAAGGTACCATTGCCTGCATGGTTTCATCTTTTTTCATTCTTCTTTCCTTTTAACCACTTTTAATTATCTTAAGGCCTCCGAATTAAGCACATTATGAAAAATATTTTTATAACGTGATGCTAATGCCACATTTTTTACTCTGCATTGTTTTTTTACTTCACCCTTTTTCTCTCCCATTTAGAATGAAGATCTTTGTAGGCAGACAAAGTTGCTGTTCTTTTCATACAATATTTGGTACAATTGGTTTTGATTAGCCCTTATGCAGCACAGCAATAAATACAATTATGACAGTAATTCAGTCTTTACTAATTTCCACAGCAGCCATGCAAGGAATGAAAAGCCTTTCAGCAAGTTTGCTGTTGCTAAAGAAGCAAAAAGCAACTTTTATTGACAGAGCAACGCAATTCTGTATTATGCGTCGGTGCATCTAACACTCCAGCCTTGAGGAATCACTCCCTTTGCCCACTGTGGTACTGAGGGTTCACGCCAACCGCGCCGCTCCAGCCTCTCATCCTACCAAAGCCACCTGTGCTGCACGGTGACTACGGCAGCCACTCTATACCCATGAAACAAAACCACACTGTTGTACTAAAGCATGCATTTCCTGCCACGTAACGCAGATAAGAATATGCTGCTTTAGGGATATGTTACAGAAAGGATTCCAGTACTTACCTGTACAGTGCATAAACATCTCCATCCATAAAATAAATGTCGTATTTCTTCTCATGCTGCAACTGGTTAAGTGCTATTGTTGAGAAAGACGTAAGCTTTCGTCCGAAGACAACCTGCAGGCAACACAACACAAGAATCAGCGAGAGCCCACTCAGGCTGCACAGCCTTTGGGATTCCAGATAAACTCCTCAGCACAAACCGTGTTTGTCAGGGAACTCGCCATAGCCTGAAGCTTGGACAACACTTGCAGAGCTTTGTGTCAGTCCCGGCTGCTGGCCACCACCCCCGGCTGCTGCCCCCACAACTGTCAGCAAAGCCACTGCGACTGCTCCTTATCACCTTCCAGCATGTGAGCCAGCTTAGACGAAGGCGGATTGGAGCAGCCTGGTCTTTGGGTTTTGAACTAGATTAGGAAACTCTTTTATGGTATGTTTTGCTACCACAGCTGGGCTAAGAGTAAATATCTTCAACCAATTCAACCCCTTCTGCAGCAAATGCCTGTCAAGAGCCCTGCACTCAGCTCCCTCCTCTCTCCTGGTAGGAGATCACATGGAAACCTACAGTCTGTAAGTGAAAAGTGACATTACTCAGAGTCTGACTGGAAAACTACTGTTTTTTCTTTCCTTAACTACCAGGAAAGCAAGAAACAAAACGCTACATCACTTCCCAAATTATTTGTACCACATACCCCTTCTAAGGGAACCTGCTTGCTCACAATTGCTCCCGCTGACCTCCAAGCAGCTTGGGTCTCACACCGCAGCCATTTACGATATTACGTCCTTCTTCAGAAGCCACGTACCACTGGTCTGCTCCAGCACACGTTCCCAATTTGGGAAGTGCTGGGGTAGCAGCAACATTTATAAAACAGCTGGAATTACCTTCACCAGCTTAGAAAGGCTGAGACACAAACACAGTAGGCGTCTTTCAGTTCTTACAGTAAACGTTGTAAATCTAGAAATACCTACAATCTTAATATAAGCATTCAATTATATAATACACATGTAGTTTAGTCTTGTTAAATCATTCCTCTAGCCTTGTTGGGGTGACATACCATGGAACAAGTCTTTTGTGTCTGGTTTTGTGGGGTTTTTTTAAAGCTTTCTTTACAGTGGGGCTTCTTTTAAGTTAACCAAAACAAAAAATACACCCAACTTGCTGAAATATCAAGCCTAAAATAAAGAGAATACAAGTTTAAGTTTGTTGGATAGATGACAACTATGTCTAACTCCAATTATTTAAAAAAAATTTCATTTCAGTGAAACTGTATTGACATATCATTTCAGCCCAAAGTGAGTTTTAGAAGAGAGGAATGAAAAGTAGATTTTATCACAGGAGTCCAACACAATTTCCTACAGCAGTTCCAAGAACAACCTCACACACATATATAAGAAGCACACTGACAGATCCTCCGAGCCTGATCCAAGCATACGTCAGGGTTAGTTTACAGGTCAATAAGTAATCCTTCCTAACTTCACTACAGCAATTATGCATCACTGAAAACACATATTACCATAACAAGTATATCCTGCTTTCTCCTCCGTCATGTCCTGTGCCGCCACTCATCTTTCTAGTTATATTTCCTTCGGACATTCTGCTGTGACACTTACCAGTTCGGTCTACACTACTCTGTACGACACCAGCTGAGATTTTGTAGCGTCATACTTGCCTCTTCTAACTCCACACACTATGTAAATTAAAAAACCCGGTTTTAGGTCCTACATATACGTTCACTTCATTCAAGGGCAGTTTTGATGTGATTTATGCCCCCCAATATCTTTTTACTTTCCTTGCGGCAGATGGGTGAACAGACAGAACGGTCTTATAGTGCCACTTAAAGACAAGGGAATAAAAAAGAGCAGAGCCATTAAAAATGACCTCTCAGTCAATTATAATAAAAGGATCATTTTAAACAGTTAATAAAGGAGGGAGAAAGATGGCTGATGAACCAAAGTTCAGGCCACATAATATAGCAATATTACAAAATCAAAAAGCTCTCGAGATTTAACAGTCCTCCTGTGACCCTAAGACAAGCAGGTTTAAGGACGAAGAGCAACGTCACAGCTTGCTTCCTCCCAAGACGGGAGAAGCAGAGCAGTAGTCTCAGAGGATGATCAGAGATAAAACTACTTTCACAGAGCATCTTTCTGTACACAGAGGCTACCCACATACCAGTAAGCTCTGTCTAAAAACCACATTGACCTTTCTGGCCTCCAGAGAGTCTGAGGATCTTCAGCACGCAGCCCAAGCTCTTCAATCCCTCCAACCATTTGAACAACATGAAAAGCAGCCCACGCCAACAGTTTAGTTGGGGGCTCTCCTTTCGCCAAGGGGAGAGCCCCCTCCCCTGATATATTTGTTTTATTTCATTTCCTAAACCACTTCAATGTATTTCTTTCAGTGCCGGTACCAATTCTTTACTTCCTAAAGGGTGTGTTTTTCTCTGCATCAGTTTTGGAAAAACAAATTCATGTATGAAGAGTGGTTCTTACAACCATCCTTGAACAACATTTCTTCATGCAGCTCACCGCTGCACCGAATCCTCG